TACTCCCACTCTTGGCACACCAACCCCACAGACCATGTCTGTGTCAACTAAAGTAGGGACTCCAATGTCCCTCACAGGGCAAAGGTTTCCAGTACAGATGCCCACTTCACAGTCCCCAACTGTAAAAGCATCAATTCCTGCAACATCCGCAGTTCAGAATGTTCTGATTAATCCATCATTAATTGGGTCCAAAAACATTCTTATTACCACTAACATGGTGTCATCACAAAATACTGCCAATGAATCATCAAATGCAATGAAAAGAAAACGAGAAGATGATGATGATGACTATGATAATTTGTAATCCAGCCTTGATGCTTGTAACATGTATACTTGGTCTTGAATCCATTGTACTAGATTAAACATGCATGCTGGGTATTTTCAAGTTGTGTTGTAGAAAACTTAAATGCTATTTAATGAGTAAATATGGTTATCCTTTCTGATTGAGATGTTGGGTTTTCTTTAATAGGATTAGTAATGGTTATTCACCAGCCTTTAAGTGTAAAAAAATAAAACTGTTTTCATCAAAAAAAAAAAAAAATTCCTTGGAAGCAGGAACCAGGCGTGTTTCAATTATTTTATCCATCCCCTCACCCAATAAATGAACTAAATGACTGAATGAATGAATGTTTATTGGCCAAACCATATTAGAGTCTTGGGGCTATCAAAACCTTTCAACACATTCACCAAAGTCTTTTTTAAAGAACGTCAGCCCCCAGAAAAACACTTGTAGAAATTTATGTTGGCACATCAACCAAAGACAACGTTCATAGGACAACATCAATATCAAGCAGCAGAGAAAACAAATAAACAGCTTTGAGGCTCAGGCAGAATGGGGAAAATGTGAACTGTAGATAGCCTGGCCGGGCTCAGAGCACAGGAGACAAGGGATGGCAGCCAGGGTAGGCTACAGAATGTGGTGGTAGCCGAAAGTTGTGGGTAACTCACAATGCAGATCAACCATGTCAATGAAAGGAACTGCATTGACAACACTAGCACAGATCGATTCTGTGGGTAATTTGTCAGGTGTGTTCAAGACAAGGCTTTAGCCAGGGAATGCGGTAGAAGAAAATCGTCATGCATACTGGCAAATGGCCTGAGAACAGGGCCAACAATGGGTAGAGGGAAGCCTTGATTCAGAGGGTAGGGTTTCTCTCTGCTGCAGGGTTCCCTTATAATTAACCAATTAGAGCCATAGCTTCATTTCCTGAGGCAGTTTTCTCTGCCACACAGAATGAGGTCACAGCCCTAGCCACACAGATCTATAAAGCATCTGGGAGATGAAGAATGGCTTCAGATATGCTTGGATCATTCCCCAGAGATGATTGGACACATGTGTGGTATTCTTAGCCTCAGAGCTTCTCAGAGAAATCAAAGTGTATTCTGACACCAGCTTTTAAGTCCCTATTTACATCCTTATCACATGACTCTAACAAAGAGATAGAGTATTACTAGATCTATCAAGCAGCCCCAGAAGCTGGAATAAATCAATCAGGGCTCCATCAACTCTGAAATAACAAATCATAGCAGTATTCAGAAGCACTAGATATGATACTCTAAGTGAAAAGAATTATTTAATATAATTTATTTTGTATGTGAAAGAATGATTTCAACTCCAGGGGCCATTGGGATTTAACATATTACTATTAGTAGTACTGAGATGATGTCAGTTTCTCAGAGAAATCAGAAGAACCTATTGGTTATGAGAGTTCCAATCTACACATAGAAGGGGTGGATTGTACATAAGCCTAGAAGCGGGTGGAGGGAAGCATACAGGATGGGCAGAAAAAGCAAACATGAGAGAGGGACAAGGGGCTTTACTGCATTATTCTAGATGAGTTCATTATAAAGTTGTGTGCGTTGTTTTGATGAAGAGACTTTGTTAATGCTACAAACAGAAAATTCTCCCACTATCTTTTCCCCTTATGTCTTACCTAGAATGGGAGATCAGGGGATATTTATGGAAGAACTAAAGCATGAAAAAGACAGCCAAGCCTTTTGGCTCTTTGGTTGAAAGGTCTGGAAGTGCAATGGAGCAGAAGGCAAAGGCTAGGGTTGGCTGTGCTAATTTTCCTCCGCCTAATAAGACAGTGGGGCCTGACACACAGGAGCTGAGTTAAAAAGCGGGGAGGCCACAGAAGGACCTAAGAAGCTTCTGCCACAATTGGCGGGTGAGTCAGACGGTATGAAGCTTGAGACCAGGGGAGGCCACGAGTTGAGAGAAGAGGAAGCAGAATACTGGTAGCACTCAAAGAGGTGGCTTTGCCTCCACGGTGTTTCATCTCCCATTTACAGCTCTTCTGCAACAATCCCCTTACATGTGTTCAGGGAGGGCTGATGCAAAATGACCAGCCCTGCAGTGCAGGCAGGATACAAGCCCCGCCCTTCAGTGAAGGTTGTGACACCCCTCAGCCAAAGGAAAATTCCAACTCTGTTGATTAGGTGGGAACCGCATCTCTGCAGTTTTCCTGTCAGGAACCAGGCTGGGGCACAGGGGCCAGGGCTGGGAAGGTTCTGAGACAGGTCGGCTGCCGAGCTTCTTAATTAGAAACAGGAATTGAGGAAAAAGCATACAATGCAACGGGAAAGAAAATCTTACACACGCATTCATGAGAAGGGTTACCTCTGGGACACAGGCCAGGACTGGAGGGGTGGCCAAAGGTACGCAGTCTTGCCTGTAATGTTCATATTAAGAGAATGTATTCCTGCGCTGTTTAACTAAAAACTGATCTTCAAAAAGTCTTATATTTAACAACGGAACAGAGGGAGAGGTGGAAAGAAAAAGAAAAAGGAAGAAAAGATGAAAGACACAACCAACAGCCTAGGTCTCCTTGCAAAGGTCTTCCTGGATGCTGGAATCAGGCCACCCAGAGGGGTGGGGCTTGGAAGCAATGGAAGACACATGGAGCAAATCACAAGGTGGGAGGGTAGGGTCCTAAACCAGAATTTCCTGGATCACAGGAGAAGGGAATGGAAGACACAACGGAATTCTGAGAGAAAACAGTGAAAAGAAAAAAGACCCCCAGGGAGTCCAAGCCCATACCGCCTGTCAGATTTAGGGTCCAGTTCCCCACTCTCACACAGAAAGGAGCAAATGCTGACTCCCAGGAAGGGCCCGGGAACTCAAGCAACCTCGCTCCTCTTAGGTCTTGTCTACCAACCATGCCCTTGGTTGTGAAGAAATCTACTGCCCGTAAAATGGAAAGAGGTATGAACACGAAGAGAGCACTACATGTGGACCACCTACTCACCCTGCCCTGTCTCAAACTTTCCACCAATGCAGTTCCACCCCACCCCTAACTTGGCCCACCCAGTTGGCTCCTGAAATAGAATGGGCCTTCCTGCCATACATGCAGGGGCTTCCCTGGGGATTTTCTCAGGGACAATCCCGGGGAAGGGTGGAGACCACCTCTTCTGGAAGGAGATGACCTCTGAGTCTGTGGTCCTATCTGCTAGGCTCAGGTAAGCCCCCAGGAAGGGCATTGCTCAGCTTAGCCCGAGGTTTTCTCCCGGCTTTCTCCCGGTTAGCAATCTCGTCTGCACGGTACCCACCACCCTGGCCCCTTAGGGCTCTGCGGACCAAGTGATCTGGGGTCCCCCTGAGGATGGGGGCGGAGAACCCCTTCCAGAGATTAGGCGGGAGGCGCTGGGGGAGGGGAGCTGGGAGTGGGAGGAGCAGACAGTTACCTCATTGAAGCCCTCCTGCAGGACGTCCAGTAAGTTCCCCCGGGTCAGGCAGGCTAGCATTGTTCCTGCGGGGGGCTCCCCGGGCGGGGTCTCCAGGCCAGGCAGCGGGCGCCGCCGCCTCCTCCCTCCGCACACAAAGACTCTCCGCTCAGCTCATTGGGATCTCTCCGGAGTCCCGCAGGCCACTTACTGGAAACCTAGACCCAAGCCAAACTAGCGACTTCCACTGGGCATGCTCGCACCCGGCCTCCGCGGGAGGGCCCTGGCGGTGTTGCGGTTCCTATAGAAACAGCTGGGCGCGCAAAGGGTGGAGGGGCGCTGGCTGGCAGCCCCCGGCCAGGCGTGCGTAAGGGGGAGCACCGCGGGCGCGCGGGCGGGCTGGTGTGTGCGCGCACCGCACACACACACACACACACACACACACACGCACACACTCACTCTCTCTCTCTCTCTCTCTCTCTCTCTCTCTCTCTCTCCGTGCAACACACATACACCAGGCTGGGGGCGGGCGTGTGTGCCTACACTGCAGACACATACACACCAGTGCGCGCGCCCTGCGAACATCCACACACGTGAGCGCACACACATACACTCTTTGACACACCGGCGGGCGTGCCGGCGTGTGCCTGCGCTTGCAATCACACACGAGTTCACAAACCAGGCCTGCAAGCAGGCTTGCTGGCGTGAGCGCGCGCGCTACACACGCATACACGCGCGCGCGCGCACACACACACACACACACACGCGTACGTTCTGCGGATTTAAGGCCAAACGCTCCACCACAAAATGGGTGGGAAGGGGACTGAATCGGGATTTTTTTCCCCCCAGACTAGCTGAAAACAGCAACCTTTTCCCATAAGAGGCTTGGACAGTGAGATTGAACTAAAGAAGGGGGAAGCAGAAAGGACAGGGAAAAAGAGAGAGAGAGAGAGAACCAGCCAGAAAGGTGGGGGTGGGGGAGGATAGAGGGAACTTTAGTTATTAATGGTATTAGAACACATTTAACGGAAATAATAGGAAAGAAATACCACTAGATCACAACATAAACATCAAGGGTAAGCCAAGGATCACCAAGGTTTTACACAAAAAAATATGTATTTCTCTTAAAAATAACTGCGAAGGGGTGCCTGGGTGGCTTAGTTGGTTGAGTTACGACTCTTGATTTAAGCTCAGGTTGGGGTTAGGGTTAGAGTTAGGTCATGGTCCTAGGATAGAGCCCCCACAACTGGCTCTCTGCTCAGCGGGAAGCCTGCTTCTCCCTCTCCCACTCCCCCTGCTTGTGTTCTCTCTCTGGCTGTGTTTCTCTTGGTCTAAAAACAAAAAAACCTTTAAAAAATATAAAAATAGGGGCACCTGGGTGGCTCAGTCGTTAGGCGTCTGCCTTCGGCTCGGGTCATGATCCCGGGGTTCTGGGATCGAGCCCCGCATCGGGCTCCCGGCTTGGTGGGAAGCCTGCTTCTCCCTCTCTCACTCCCCCTGCTTGTGTTCCCTCTCTCGCTGTGTCTCTCTGTCAAATAAATAAATACAATATTTAAAATAAATAAATAAATAAATAAATAAATAAATATAAAAGAAATAAATCTCTAAAATAATCGAATGAACAAAAACTAACTGCTACAATGTAAAGCCCATATTTTTAGTGAGCTTTAAATGAATTAAATAGGTTTTAATTCAAATAAACACTACAGTTGGGGGGGATGGGCTAAATGGGTGATGGATATTAAGGAGGGCATTTGTTTTGATGAATGCTGGGTGTTATATGTAAGTAAAGAATCACTAAATTCTCCTGAAACCAATATTACACTATATGTTAACTAAAATTTAAATAAAAACTTGAAAAATAAAATAAATACTACAAAAATATCCTGGAACTTTTGAAAGAGTTAGGAAAAAGCTTCCCCAGATGAAACAGAGAGCTATTCCCCTCTGTTTCTAGTTATTCAAGTCACAGCCTTGATTATTTATTTTTAGGAATACTAGTCATTTGTACTCTTGGTGCACATTCTTGTTTCTATAGGAAACTGGAAGCTGAAAGAACACCCATATATTACACCTCATGATTCCAGATGGAGGGGACGGCTTGACAGAATGGTAAGGCTCAAGAGAAGGTCAGGGCCTTGCCCAAGGACACAGCTGGTCAGTGACAAAGGCAGTTTGATGATCTAGGACTCTACACTTAACAATTTTGCAAAAGGCCCAAATTCCTTCCACATATACCTACTGGTAACTTAGCAGGAAGAGTCAGAAATGGTTCTTTTCAACCTCATGACCTCCTCAGCTCCTCAGCTCACTAGACAAAAAGAAAATCCCTAGGGAGCATCCAGAACTAGCAACATCTTGCCTGAAGGTCTAAAGCTGCTAAACACAAGGATACTTCTGAGAAGGACACACTTCCCACTCTACCCCCTAACCCCTACCACATCAGGCAGGAAGCAGAAGGCCCACAGAGGTGTTAAGTGGCTGCTGCTGATTGAATGCTGTGTATTCCATTCTGGCAAAGGCAGGGGAAAAGCCATGGCACCAAATCAAACTGAACCTGATCAGCCCATGAGTCAGAAGAGAACAGTCCTGGGGTGCCTGGGTGGCTCAGTCATTGAGCTGTCTACCTTTGGCTCAGGTCATGACCCCAGGGTCCTGGAATTGAGCCCTGCATCGGGCTTCCTGTGCAGCCAGAAGCCTGCTTCTCCCTCTGCCATTAAAAAAAAAGAAGAAGAAGAAGAGCACGGTCCTTCATAACTAACTGGGGAATTTAGCTCCCAGGAATTCCCCTTGCCATGACTGCAGCTCATGGTGTAATACGATCAGGTGAGTCACCAACCCATGTTCATGCAACAAGGCCCTTTTAAAACAGAAGCATGAAACGTCTAACAAAATAAAATTGCATGTAACACATCTACATGCATAGTGATGCAAAACCAAAACACCCAGTTGGTGGGTCCCTGGATAGAGGATTCTGGTTGGTTGCTGGCCCAACATGCTTAGGACAGAGGAGAAAATACTGAAACATCAGAGGGAGGTCCTGCTGATATTTATATGGCAAAAGGTCACTGTTTCTCAAGGAACAAATCCTTTATCAACATAAGACCTGTGAGCTCAATATTCCTAGGAAAAGATTCATTAAATCACTGGATTTAAAGCTAAAAAAAAAAAAAAAAAGATATTTGACACACATGGAGGAATGAAGACTAGGATTGCTATTTACAGTCACTCAGCAAATCAATATGAGAGCTAAGATCTGAACCAAAGCCCTTGATGCTTGGCCCTATGCTGTTTGCCCTGCATCTCACAGCACGCTGGAGGAATTAGAGGGAACCGTGGCGAACAGATACAAGATTTGTTATAGGGCATATGGCCCACAATTGCGCTATCCCCCAGAAGTCTGTAATTATATCAACCACATATTCTACAGTAATGCTATGCCATAGGATTTTCTGTGATGGAGAAAGTATTCTATCTGTGCCATCTAATCCACTGGCCACTAGCCACACGTGATTAGTAAGCACTTAAAATGTGGCTGATGCAAAGGCGGGACTAAAATTTAAATAGCATTTAATTTTAATTCACTTAAATTGAGATGATTTCATCTCATCTCATATATTTCATAATATTCTGTGCCATTTTCCCCACACAACTATTGAAATGTTCCAAAAATTATAATATTTTCACATATAGTCTGCCTCTCCCACTTGGAAAAAAGCATAAAATTCCTGTTGGAGCATATAATCTCTAGGAGTTTTTTTTTTGCTCAGAAGGTGTGCTCACCGTATTTATCATGGTCTCCCTTACCACGTAGCACAGGTGAAGAACGAAGCATTAGTTCTAAGCAGCACTAACATTTACTGTTCCCTCCATCTGCCCCACCTCGCTTTGCTGTCATATCAGCCTAAGAGCTGGGAGGGTAAGTAGGTTAGCTTAAAAGAATCAGGAATAACTAGGACAATGATCTGCACCCTGTAGAGCTAGGACATGGGGAAACTGCGAGTCAGTCCAGGTAGCCGGAACCACTCCCACCACTGCTGGCTTGTCATTCACTCGGCCTATGAGGAGAGGCAAAGGGTCCAAACTAGCTACTCTGTGTATCTCTGCCATGCTACCTGATTTCTGAAATCAGACCAGACCTCCTCCGTCTTGTATTATTTTAACAATAATGGCACGGATACTTCCCTCACCAACTAAAAGCTACCAAATATTTATAGATAACCATAATAATAGGAAAATTGAACTTCTACTATGTGCCAAGCCCTATACTAAGCACTTACATATATTAGCTCATTTGATGGTCACAATTACCATAAACAGTAGTGTTGGGTCCATGGTCAAAGGAGCGAGACTGATACAAAGCGAAGGTCAAGCAAAGCTTTATTTCGTGCCAAGCATCGAGAATCAAACTGACCAGCCAGGGCCATTTCTTGCAAAGAGGCGACCCCTTTCTGCCTTACAGACTAGCTTTTAAGGGCAAAGGCCATGTGGTTGGGCCTGGCCAAGCACAGGTGGCCAATGAGATTATAACACACAGAGAAAGCTGCATAGTCATGCGAGGTCACGCATAAGTGACCAATTGAATTACAATTTACCCTATAGTAGACATTTGAACCAGCCTATCACCTTGGTCAGAATTGGCGCCCAAAAGGCACCCAAAGGGCGGGGCCCATACTCCTTGGTAGCTAGGGAGACAGTACGCCCCCCACTGATTGAATACCTCCACCTGGCCTGACCCACCATTGTATTTGGGCTTTGTTAGCTGGTACTGGTTTCCGGGACTTGTTTTTAAGTAAGTTCCCTGAGGGGGGGGCGGGGGGGGCAGTGTCAGGATGGAGCTGCTCTGGCTAAATAGGCCCTTACATGTAGGGGGTTTTTATCATCCCCATTTTACAGATGAAGAAAGAGAGATCTGGCAGATAAGTAACTAGCTCCAGGTCCTATCGCTGCTAAGTGGTGAAGCTGAAGTCCAGGGGTTTTTTGTTTTGTTTTGTTTTTCTTTTTAAGATTTTATTTATTTATTTGACAGAGAGACAGAGAGAGAGGAAATACAAGTAGGGGGAGTGGAAGAGAGAGAAGCA